GGATAACTGGTTAGCATGCCACAAATTGAGCTGCAAGCCCCGCATACAGGAAGAGCAATAATATTGGCCATCGGATGTGCACCATAATTTTTCATATAATATCGTTTCAGTGTTTCATAAATAGCCAAATCAATACCCGCATATGGTATAATACCCACAAGATTTGGTACTATTCCCTGAAAAAACGCCGATGTATGACGGGAATCTTATCTCATTGAATACTACGAATCTTTATGCATGGATATGCTAAATAAAAAACAAAAATTCCTCGGGAAATTCATTCCTTCCCTCGTCAATTTACCAATACGAAGCAAACAGACATAGCCCTACAAAATATTTTCTGCCGTGGAAAACTCGAGAAAAGCCGGCCAAGAAGCCGCTACAAAAAAGAAAAGGGAACAAAAGAAAAGGGTGTGTTGCTTTGAAAGGCAGATACACAGTAGATGTGATGCCATGCTGAACTTGGAGCACTGAGACAAGTGGTTTAGTGGTAACACATTGCATCCGGAAGTGAACGGGAATGGTTCGATTCCCTACCGGCCCAGAACAGTTTTTGAAAACAGGGTCCATTCACGAGATTTCCTATGTCCTCTAAAAGTATAAATTATATTAGCAATAAATATGTGCCAGCAGTAATTCAACATGTGGTAATTAATTGATTCGGGAAAACAATTATTCTTCGAAAAAGCTTGAATTTTGCACCGAATCTTTTCCGATCTATAAATTTTCTGATTTTATTTTCAGTTACAGCAACAAATTCCGTACTTTACAAAGTATTAAAAACAAAAAATTTACCTTGTAAAAGCACCGGAATCCTTCTTTCCTATACATTTTGGCAGCAAAATGAAGTAAACCCTTATCCAGCTGACCACTACGTCGCAATGCCAAGCGTGTCTTTAATACCTTAAAAAAATTCATTTATTTAAATGCCATTAACTGAATAAACAAATTAAAAACGTGCTATTAAATAATGTCAATTCCAGAATTTAAATTTCAAAAACTCTAAAATACTTAAATAATTCGTTTAATGTTATTAAATAATCCTGCTTCTCAAGAAATTTGTCTACATTTCTTTTGGTCGGCAAGACTCACAGTGAACTAGAAGCCGCCAAGTCCGAAACCACTGGTTGTTTTCAGCACATATACACAACGATATCTTGAGACGGCCATAAAGGCTGTCAAGTATTTCTGTCCAGAGAAACGCTCAGCTGGTAATCTGTTCTGATCGGGACGGTGCAAAAAAACAGAGCGGGTAAAAACCTACCAAATGATGTGACGATGGGCTTTTCGCCCCCCCCCCCCCCCCCCCCCCCCCCCCCCCCCC